TCGAGCGTTAACAATATAACTTCCAAAGTATATATCGATCATTCATTAGTGGAACCTTCCTTGATCATTTGAAGATTTTTTGTTTCAGTCTGTAGCGTGGTGAATAGTAACAGAGATTCATTTATAAAAGCCGGTCGGTAGAGTGAGTCACAAAGCTTAAAAATAGCAAACCACTTAATGCCCTAGTAAAACGCACCCGGTACGGAGCATGATGCGGTGGAGGCTTCCTATCGAATTGTTGAAACTGAATGGCTTATGAGTGGGCCCATGCGTGAGTTAGCTACTTCTGTAGTGGTACGGTTTGTGTATGACTTTAGTAAACTTGGATGACCACCGCTAAACAAGACTTTTATGATACCCACAAGGCCAAAGTTTAATGCAGTGCAGTTCAGTCGACCGGATATTCAAATAAACGAGCGCAATCAAACTAGGATGTCGTACGTTATAAATTGGTAAGATGTGTTGGCTTTAATTTCTACAATAATGGTGGTAGTAGTTTGCAGTGAGTCGATACTCACCATCAGAGACGAAGGATTTCGTCAGGTACTAATAACCACTAAGTTGAACCTGGGTTTCTGTTATTCTCAACTATGAGACGCATCATCGTGTTGAAAGGATTCTGTATTGATAGTAGTAGTATTAGTAATACGCACGGAACTCGGAACACAGACCACGTAATACCAATCAAGGATCAGCAATCACGGACTAGATCACGGAAGCACTGGACTGCAGTGGTACGAACACGCAATATCCCACGTGACTGAGACGCGAGGAAAAGGCCACAGGAATGACAGTTCGTAGTTTGTTTATTGAAAGACATGAGGGCGATTAAATAATATCATTGAAAGAAAGAATATCATTGGTTATCCAGGCTTAGACCAATCTCATTGCAGTGTTGATTGCATAACTCTGCTTCTGTCTGCACTGTCTCAGATTGGCTGGCACGATCTTCCTATGGTGTGTAGCCAGAAGCAGTGACACGTACGCGCGTCAGTGACGTCACCTTTGTAATTTGATTGATTACAGGTGTCCCAAAACTGTAACGCGCGGCTCCAGGGTACGTGTAATCTCGTAGACCTGGATCACCACAGATTTGTTCAGAAATAATGAGGTAAAACGTATCATGCACATTACTACGGCCTTTCAGTGCCA